CAAAATATACAATAACGTACATGTTGTCATCTCTGTAAGTGCCAAGGAATTTTTAAAACTTATTTGAATCAAATAATTCAAAGAGATGTTTCTCATTATGCAGCCTAATATAAACAGTGTTAGGGTTAAAACATTGTCCACTGACTTATAAGTACAAAATATAAACAGTGTTAGGGTTAAAAACATTGTCTACTGACTTATATGTACAAAATATAAACAGTGTTAGGGTTAAAAACATTGCCCACTGACTTATAAGTACAAAATATAAACAGTGTTAGGGTTAAAAACATTGTCCATTGACTTATAAATACAAAATATAAACAGTGTTAGGGTTAAAAACATTGTCCACTGACTTATATGTACAAAATATAAACAGTGTTAGGGTTAAAAACATTGTCCACTGACTTATAAGTACAAAATATAGCAAATAACTTTGTGCAGAATACTTGGACTGAAAACAAATCACCAACTCAAAACTCGTTCAGGATCCTAAAATAATCACAAAAACCGGAAACCATTTTGAAACATTATATATACACATATAAAAACATGTTTATTATGGGCAAGTTGTTACAGAATACACACGTTTGTGGCTGAGTCTGAGTTCTAACTTTTGCTTTCGAACCAATATATCTCAACTCCAGTGAAGAAAGCTATACGTCACAATATATAGTATCAAAACTGGTATTATTTGATCGAAAGAAATCATTATAAAAAAAATTCTGCACACACACACACACACAAAAAAAAACAATTATACTCACTCGTAGCTTGTAACGAGTCTCAGGGTCGACTTGCGTTAGTTACAGTCCGCTTAACAGAGTTTTCTGTATTCAAAAACTAGTGTGTTACCACGCTGATATTAATATATATACGCCAAACACGTTTGTGTCACGAGAGCTCGCTAATAGCCCTCAAGTATGAGTTTGGAAAACCTTGGGAATTCCCTTCTGCTAGGTCAGAGCTCAACCATTGAAATCAAAGATGCAAACTGCAATTTCGTAATAATTAAAATATTCAGTAGTGGATTATATATATCTATATAACAATATACTTTTCCAACAAACGTCTAACTATACTAACGCATCATATACGTTTAACCAGGCACTCCGGGCAGCAGCTCCATCTATTAAAATTAATAGTAACTAAGATTATGGTGCGAATAAAGCATACGTCAAAGGGATTCTGTGCTGCCTCGAGGTCATCTTCAACGGTTGCGTATAAGGTTGTTTAAGATACAGTTTATTTAGTTTCTAGTCGTTTCTGATGTAGGGAAAATCCTAGCATTACTTGGTTAGGATTTTCCATGCTGTAGGCAACGTTACAAAAAATGGACCTCTCAACCTAAAAAAATATTACATTTTCATGCAAATCCGTTTCACTCACGTGTAGAAATTTAATTTCAAGTAGCTACTTTAAGCTTCGATCTTGGTGACGTACAGACTTGAAGAATCTGCCATCTAAGGAGAAGTTTGGAGTGATTGTAATAACCAGTTTAATCCGATTACGTCAGAGTATTTCATTTTCACATTAAATGTTATAAATAAATTATATTATAGCTAGTAGAAGTTGCAAAACACAGAGGTTTCACAGCAGTTACAACTTTCCACTGCATGCAATCATTTCGATGATTGGCTTTTCCGAAATATACGGTGTTCTTATGAGATTTCACCCATTATAAAACTTTTCTCTCAAACAGCTCTGGTGAAAAACAAATATTGGGATAATATTTGTTTGTTTGTTTTAGACTTTTCGTACAAAATTACAAAAAAGGGCTATCTGCGTTTTGTCTAACCTAATTTTGCCATTTATTATCCTGAAGAAGAATAGTGAACTATATATATTTTTATTATTATCCTGAAGAAGAATAGTGAACTATATATATATATTTATTATTATTATCCTGAAGAAGAATAGTGAACTATATATATATATATATATTTATTATTATCTTGAAGAAGAATATTGAACTATATATGTATTTTTATTATTATCCTGAAGAAGAATAGTGAACTATATATATATATTTTTATTATTATCCTGAAGAAGAATAGTGAACTATATATATATTTTTATTATTATCCTGAAGAAGAATAGTGAACTATATATATATTTTTATTATTATCCTGAAGAAGAATAGTGAACTATATATATTTTTTATTATTATCCTGAAGAAGAATAGTGAACTATATATATATTTTTATTATGATCCTGAAGAAGAATAGTGAACTATATATATATATATTTATTATAATCCTTGAAAACTATTACAACTTTGTATGTGATCCTGTGTGCTAACTTCTTAATCAGAACTAATTTTGAAACGATAGATTAAATGAAAGGCAATTATTCAATAACACCCATCGCCAACTAATGGGATATTCTATTCGAATAGCCAGCCCCACCACTACCACCCAGTGGCACGGCGGTATATCTGCGAAATTACAGCGCTAGAATTCGATATTCGTGGTGGGCAGAGCACAGATAGCCCATTCTGTAGCTTTGTGCTTAACTACAAACAAGAAAGTAACAGTTTACTTGACTATTTTACCAAATGACTCAAGATGTATACTTTACCTAATCAGAAAGTAAAGTCTCTGGTAAGGAAACTCTTCAATAAATTTGTCTCAAGATTTGTTAGCCCATTGTGTAGCTTTGCGCTTAACAACAAACAAGCAAAGCTAGCCCTCCAGTGGCACAACGGCAAGTCTGTAGGCTTATAGTGCTAGAAACCAGGTTTCGATATACTTGGTGGGCAGAGATAGCCCATTGTGTAGCTTTGCGCTTAACAACAAACAAACAAAGCCAGCCCTCCAGTGGCACAACGGCAAGTCTGTGGGCTTATAGTGCTAAAAACCGGGTTTCGATATACGTTGTGAGTAGAGATAGCCCATTGTGTAGCTTTGAGCTCAACTACAAACAAGCTATTCGAACAGTGGGATTTGATCGTCGCTCGTATAATGCAGACGCTTTAGCGAGAATGAGTCGCGGACCTGGAATCCTCAGATTCACAAACCGCTTACGCTAACTACCATTAGTCACGTCCCAATTTCAGTGTGGTTTCAAAATGTACACATGAAAGGTGAAATTTTTCTTTTCCCTAATTCTTTGTTACGTCTATACTGTAGAATGGAATACATGTGTGAAAGGCTTTGTTACGTCTATACTGTAGAATGGAATACATGTGTGAAAGGCCTTGTTACGTCTATACTGTAGAATGGAATACATGTGTGAAAGGCTTTGTTACGTCTATACTGTAGAATGGAATACATGTGTGAAAGGTATCAACACGATTCACCGTCATTCTGGAGAGGCCTATGTCTGCGGACTTACAACGTTAGAATCCGGGTTTCGACACCCGTGGTGGGCAGATCACAGATAGCCCATTGTGTAGCTTTGTGCGTAACTTCAAACAAACAAACTGGAGAGGCCTTGGATTAAAAAAAAACCCTTCAAAGTGATGATGATGTGTTTGTGATTGCAGTGGCGGTGAGAAGTTTCTGGGGAAATATTTCCTTTTTTTCCTTAAGTACCATTACGTAAAAGGAAACTTTATTTTTCAATAAAGATATATTCTAAGTTGGTTTTGGGAGGTTATACCCAGCTCGGGTACTTTTACGTCGGGTATTTTTTCACATTTTAAAAAGTCACTAAAAGACATAGTCCGTATGTAGTAGTAAGTCACAGGATTATTCATGAAGGTAATATATTGCACGCAACCAGTTCAAGAGAAGACAAGTGTCTTACTTTTCATTTCTGGTAAAATCAGGACGAACGCATGCGTACATTTCCTGAAAGTACTGGCACAAATTTCTTGAGAACAATACAGATTAGGCCTAGGAAATGGTATAGAATCTATTTTAGAAATAAAATACCTTTGAACAGAAGTTGAAGATATTCGAATTCGTTTTTTTTATTTGAACTGCACTTTACGCTAAGCTAGACGGCAAGGTTGAGATATAACCACCCCTAATTCTGAACATCTGACTAGAAGGGACTGGCCAGCAGCACCTGCCACCACAAGGGCTTTCCCCGGCTATTTGAACCAAATAACGGAATTAACTGCCACTTTTATAACTCACTAACAACTGAAAGTGAGATGCACATTCAGCAACATTACATCTCGAATCCGTGGTCCGAGACGCAGGCCTAAAATCTGAAATACTCTACACAGCAACAAGCGAGTTTTTCGTCTTATGGTGCGATACACGTTTACTAGCCGTGTGTTTTAAAATCTCACCTTCTCGAAAAACGAAACTCAACTGGCAGAGGGCTTTTCTGCAAACTCGAATGGAAATCTAAAAATATTTGATATTTTATTTTATTGAAAATTGATTTCGAAAGAAGAAGCCTGAGACATAAAGACAAACAATGCATTGAAACTGTTGGAATAGTGTAAAGTGAACAAACATTAATTATTTCGGTCTTTTTTTCTCATCATTTTTTTGAAAAACACAAACATGATTTTGAAGTCAAGAAAGAAAGGTCTAGGAATATATGATAATATTATAGAAAACACGATAACCCCTCCCCTCCCCCAAAAAATATTTTTAATAGAAAAAACAAACTAAACATTATGACAGAAAGTAAGAATATACAGAAGTCATGAAGTGAATTTACCTAATGACTATGATAACGTTTGCTTGAAGTAAAGCTACACGATGGGCTATCTGTGCTCTGCCCAACACGGGTAACGAAACCCGGTTTCTAGCGCTGTAAGTCCGCAGAGATATCGCTGTGTCACTGGAGGGGGGGGGGGATAAAGTTAGCTGAGATCAATCAAACAAACCTAACTCACTTCCTTGCTGGGTGGAAATACCCAAATCGATGCGCTAAGGAGTTGCATAGTTAACAAGTAAATGAAAAACTTAAAAAAAGGAATTAAATGTGGGGATGGCTAACGGTATGTCTGCGGACTTACAACGCTAGAAACGGCGTTTCGATACCCGTGGTGGGCAGAGCACAGATAGCCCGTTGTATAGTTTTGTGCTTAACTTCAAACAAACAAACTTTTTGCAATGATATTTATTGTTATTCCCAGAACTTGTAACTCAGTCATTACCTAGATACTGTTAAAAATGGAAACACTCTATAGTATTGTAAAGTTCTGATGACTTAATTAGTCTTAGTTATGAGTAACAGGCAAACCACAAAAGACCTTTATGACCTCTCTGCGATAGGTCATCAATGGGGTGTCCTCACTGTTAGCAGTGTTTTCGGCCCTTATCCCAAGAGCGCACGACAAGTTCGGGCTTGCTTAGGGAATGACTGTATCAAAACTTTAAGACGATTAATGATTATGCGCCAGTGGATTTAAAGACATCGAACTATGTGTGTGTGTGTATAAAAAATAGTAGATTTATTCAGTTTTCTTAACTGGTTGCAATGTTTTAAAAATATCATCACTTCTCTCTCTCTCATTGTCATAATAAACTATTTTAGTTGTAGATTATACTAAAATTCTAACTTAGCAAAAAGAAATTTCCTAATTAATGGTTGCTAATTACACAGTGCTTAACAGTGGGTTTAACAGATATAGAGCTGTTGTGTGCTGTTTGAAAGCTACAGAACTTATTGTGTCGAATAAATTGTATGTGTTTGCTCATTGTTCAACAGAAGTCTTTGTTAGCAGTGTTCATGTTGACAGATCTTTATATTGAGCTTTACTTCTTAACCAACAGAGGGCTCTGTGAACAATGAACTTAAATACATTTTATAAAGCAAGTACGTATTCTTCTTTAAGAAGTAATACAAATACGTACCTAAACGACGAACTAAAAGATACGTATATACAGAACGACACAGCTCTATAAACAGAAAGGTATACCAAGCTAACAAGACTAGATAACTAGATATTCGTCGTTTCATATCATTGCTTCCACATGGTTACAATGTACTGTTTGTTTCGCACGTTTTCTTTGAAAACTATGGTATTTATACTCCATGTTTCCTTCAAACGAGTTGCGATGACCTGTTAACATGTTCCTCATTGAACAAAACAATTAATCTGGTTATTCCACTCAGTGGATAAGCTGCGTAGAATACTTTTCTTATCTG